CTCTTTTTTTTTTTTTAAAGGGAGAGGCTACAGTTACGTCAAGCTGAATCCTGAGCCTTGTTCTTCCCAACAAGAATCTCATGAATGGCATTGATAGGACACAGCTTGTTCACAGTTCCTGTCATCTGCTTCCTTAGCTGGAGGAACACCATCACTCTTTCTAGGCTATGCCGTTTTGGTTCTCATGTAGCATCTGTTTAAAAATGTCCAGCCTTTTCTTCTTACAATTTGAAGGACCACCTCTCTGTCCACATGCCCCTGTGCACCAGCTACAGTGGTCCGACCACCACCTGTTGTCTATCTCACCACTTACTGTGGTCCATCAGGCATCGATCAAAATCTGGACCTTTTCCATCATGGCTCCGGCTCTGTGAGATGCACTCCTTGAAGAGATGAGAGGGACTCCCTCCTTGGGAGATCTTCAGGAGACATGGCAAGTCCTGCCTGTTTGCCAGGGCTTTGGAGGGGGGTTGAGTGGCAGTCACCTTGGGGTTTGCTATTTTATTTTTGGTTTTAAATGAAAATGTTTTGTAACTGTTATTGTCATCCGCCTTGAACCATAAAGAAAGGTGGGGGTGTAATGGTTTTAATTAATTAATAACTAATTTCTCCACTTTATCAGATTGACAGTAGCCTATATGCATGAATTAGTGTTTAATCATTTTGATTGTTTTAAACACCAGTGCTTTTTTTTTTTAAGACTTCAGTGTAAGGCAAGAGGTTTCTTCCTCTTGAATTGGTCCAGCCAAGAGACTGCCTCAGTTGCTACATGTTCTCCTGGGGCTCCACACCACTCCCAAGTCCCTCATCTGCATTCATCCATGGGGTCTTTCCTCATGCTGTATGGACAACTGTGGTGGGAATGCTACTGCGGCATGTTGGGAGTTCTCAAACTGTTGAGCCAGGACCCAAAAGTGGGCTGCAGTTTTCTTGCATTTGGGTCACAAGACCAGGGACGGGGGAGGAGGAACCCAATGAGCTTTTACCCATGAACCTTTTAGCCCTGGAAGCTGGTGAAGAACAATAGACCTCTGAGCATGGGCAGAGCATTTTACCTCAGCACAATAGGGGCTACAGCCTCTTTGAACTGGTTTAACTGTTCCTTCTGTAATCCCACCTTTCCACCCTAAGTAGAACCAAGGAGGAAGCAGGGAGCCCTGTTAGCCTCACAACAACCCCGTGAAGGAGGCTAGCCTGAGAGACAATGACTTTGCCGCTCAGTGAGCCTCACAGACCGGCAAAGTTTGGAAGCTGCATTTCCTGCCTCTAGCACCGGCATGTGTAAGTGTAAGACAGTGCTGTCTCTTGTACGGGCTGGTGTTGTTTTAAAGATTAGCAGTGCCTGCCATGGGGGGGGGGGCTGCTGGGCCTCTCCTTAACCCCCCCCCAAACACACTGGTAGTTTGCTTCTGTGTGTCTTAGTGAAGGATCCCAGATGGTGCAGCACAGGTTGGAGGCCAAGTGAGGCCCCTGCCGCACCAAAATAGACACGCCGTGGCGGGATCCCACGGATCCCATGAGCCGCGGTGCTGTTGCTCCCCGGCACAATCGAATGCCGGGGAGGAAGCCACGGTCGGGAAACCGAGGCAGCTGGCTGCGCATGCATGTGCATTCGGCCAGGAGGCAAGGATGCACCGGCAGAAGGACACGCTGGCGATCCCATGGCCGCGCTTGCCGCGGCCGTTCAGGTAAGACCTCCCCAGGAGGTGGTTTAGTTTAGATGTGGGTTTTCAGCCGGAAGGGCCGGATTGGGGACAGGTGCGCAACGTTTCCCAGATGTTGCGGTGGGATTGCGCCTGTTTGCTGCGCCCCCAATCTGTCCCTCTCCTGGCCCAAAACCTTTCGTGTGACCGGGGCCTGGGTTGAGAAAAGGAGAAATCCAAAGCTTTTCTCCTCAGAACGAAGTCCCCTTTTATTCAACAGCCCTGTTCTTTAACTGGGAAAGTGGTGACTTGTGCATATGTCCATGCCCTTGCGTCACAGGCCATGGCTAGAAAAGCTCTCTAATGACTGCCACCACTCTGGTAGGGGTCTCCTTGGGAGGGCCCAGAGCACTCCTTTTCCAGCAGGCCCCCCCTTATAAGTGACCAAATGAGGCATGAGGAGCCAGGCAGAGTAATAAAACTATTTTAGTTAACGAGATTTAAAAACAACTGTAATTCAATAACTTGTGGGAAAAATGAGCACAGTAAAGGTAGGTAAACCAGCAAAGTAAGAAACCCACATGCGTCTGACTATACGGTACCTACCCTTCTCTAGGTATTTGGCCCCAAGCTGACTCACCCCCTTTGGAAGAGGGATCCTCCCATCTGCAGCCTCTCACTAGCTCTGCTCCCTGGGAGTGAACAGCCTTCCACTTTGGGCAAAGCCTTTTATTTCTTCTTCCCAGGCACCACCCTCTTCTCCTCTGCTGGTATAAGTTTTCTCTCCAAATCCCGTTAGCCAATCACAAGGTCCAGAGGGTGCCTGGGAAATGTAGGCCCTGTAGTCACTATAACACAGGCTTCCCTGGAGCCACTAGGCCTCCCCAGAGCCTGTAGGCCGCACTACCATAGGCCTAGGATCATGACACATTCATATGATGTTATACTGGCATAGCAGCACATGACACACCGTGGAAGAAGGCTCCGGTAGAGTCTCTTTGCTCTCTGTGCTCTCAGTGTGCACGAGGTCAAGTGGTCTTCAAATCTGCTTCTGCTGAAAATGGAAAACTGAAATGGGGAGAGGCTGTGGCTCAGTGGCATTGCCTCTGCTTGGCATGCAGAAGGCCCCAGGTTCAATCCCCAGCATCTCCAATGCGAAGGACCAGGCAGTAGGTGATGGGAAAGAACTCAGCCTGAGATCCTGGAGAGCTGCTGCCAGTCTGAGTAGACAATACTGGCCTCAATGGACCAAGGGTCTGATTTAGTATATGGAGGCCTCATGTATGCCTGTGTTCAACAGCGCTTACTCCCAGGAAAAGCGTCTTTAGGATTACAAGCAAAGTGGCCCTTATTTGACAGGCTCCCTCTCAGAACCCCATCACCTCCCATGGGACACCAAGGCCCCTTTCCCCACTGCATTTCTCAACCAAAAATATCTCCCTCCCACTCCTCTTACTCTGCCAGTTTCCATCCTAGACACACACACACCCAAGACACAAGAAGGCAAGGCACCTGGTTCTGGGGTTCATTTAATTGTGCCCAGGCTGTTGCTTTATTTGTTCATTTACTTCGTTTATATCCCACCTTTCTCCCCAATGAGGATTCAAAGTGGCTTATATCATTCTCCGCTTCTGTGTTTTGTCCTCACAACAACCCTGTGAGGCAGGTTAGGCTGAGAGTGACTGGTCTAAGGTCACCCAGCAAGCTTCCATAGCCAGCAGAGATATTCAAGCCTGGGTCTCCCAGATCCTAGTCCAACACTTGAACCACCATACCACGGTGACTGCTGTATGTGACGGTAGTTTTTAAAAATGTTGCTTGTAGTTTGAGTGATGTGGGTGGGTGGGGCTACACGGATTAGGGTTAGGAGACAATACTGGTCTCAATGGACCACTGATTTAGTATATGGAGGCCTCATGTATGCCTGTGTTCAACAGCACTTACTCCCAGGGAAAGCATCTTTAGGATTGCAAGCAAAGTGGCCCTTATTTGACAGGCTCCCTCTCAGAACCCCATCACCTCCCATGTTTGCCCACCCCGACTCTTCCACCTCTGCTTTTCCTCCTCTTCCTGCGTTTAGCTAATTTGGGCCTCACTCCGGGATACAGGGGATCTGTTCCTCTGTCTGATTCTGTCCGGATGAAGTGCTCTGGAAGTTCCTGGTTGCACTGTGTAGATGCTGCCTCAGAGACTTAGGAGCATGGAAGCCATGAGGCGGATTGGGACCATGGGGACAAACCCTTTTCTCCTGGGACATCTTCCCAGCCAGAAATGGCCCCAACATTTGCCTCATTGTAGAACTTACATGTACCAATGGAATGAGTTCATAATGAGCTTTGTTATTTTTTAAACCACATTGTTCCCTAATTCTTTCTTTAGCCCATCTCTAACCCACCCTTCCACCAAGAAGCCCAAGGCAGCACACACCATTCTCACCTCCATTTTGTCCTCACAACAAACCTGTGAGGTAGCTCAGCGTGAGAGCGAGTGACTGGCTGAGGGTCTCCTACCTAGCATCACAAGAAGAGCAGGGATCCGAACCTGAGTCCCTCAGATCCTAGCCCAAAACACAAAGCCCCACGAAACACTGACTGCCACTCCCCCTCAGACTGAATTGTGGTATCAATGATGAGATGTGTTAATCTAGTATAAGCGAAGACCAGAGCGAGAAAGAGATAGCATTCTACTTCAGAGGTGTCAAACTCATTTGTTACAAGGGCTGGATCTGACAGAAATGTCATTTTGTTGGGCCAGGTCACGTGTGCCATAAAACAAAACGCCAGGTACTGGAGATAGAGACTGTATAAAGCTGGTAAGCTCCGAGTTGGTGTATCCTCACTGCAAGGCCCCAGGGGCTGGGAGGGGGGTGCAGAGGAAAACCCACATAGGCAGACTGGAAAGGCAGCAGTGCTGTGCTGATGCTCCCACGATACTTGACTGCTGCAGACGAGGTTGTTGTGCCGTGCCAAAGTCCCAATGGAGTGGCTCCGCCCACTCCCTCCAGGACTCCTTCCCTTGCATTAGTTACTCGCGGGCCGCATAAGAGCCCTGGACGGGCCAGTTCCAGCCCCCGGGCCATAAGTTTGACACCCACGTTCTAGTTAGCCAGTAGAGGCCATTTGAGAGCCAGAAAGGGGCTCTTGGGATCTTGTTTGTGATATTTTTATTTACTGTCCTCATCTTTCCTGCAACATACGTACTAGGGATTTTATAGCTGGTATCCAGCAGAACAGGGAAGTGTTGATGGGAATCCAGCAAAAATACATGATGTTAGCCACAGTTAATGGGGGGGAAAGAAAGAAAACGTACTTTATTGAAGTCCAGTGGCACCTTTAAGACAAACAAAGTTTTATTCGAAGTATAAAGTGCAAGCACACTTCTTCAGATACAGTGGGACAAGAAGATGTCTTCAAGGAAAGGAAGTAGAGCTGAAATTGGATCAGGTAGCCGGTAAAATCAACGAATGGCAGCAAATTAGCACGTAAATGCAAGAACTAATAAAGAGAAGTGAGACTGAAGCTAGAATCCAGCAGCACTCCCAAGACAAACGAAGCTCAACCCGTATACACATTCTGATTCCAATATGAAGGGAAACACCACACCTCCGAGTGTCCTAAGCAGTTGCCTTTGGTCCATTACAAAGTAGCCCCAGTGTTGTGACTTTGAGGGAGGCTGAGGTAGCCCGTTCTAGAAACCCAAAAGAATGGCAAAAGCGGCTCTCCACAGAAGGATGCAGCTGAGAATGTATAGAGGTGGTCTGCTGTGTCAGGGTCGAAAAAGTCCACTTGCTCTTTGTCGTAGTTGAGAGCCACTCGGATCCTTTTGAGCTTCCCATTCAGACCAAGATGATACCTCTGGGGGTGACTGAGAGCCACGTAGCTCAAACCCATTTTCCCCACAGCCCAGATCCCTTCCTCAGGACTAAAGACGATATCTCCCATCCTCCTCACAGACTTTCTGGCCACCCCCACAGCCCACCATCCCTCACACTCCACAGTGACTTCCCAGAAATGCTGGCCTGATGTGAACTCCTCACGTCCCAGCACCGCAGTTCTTTCATCAAATCTCTCAGGATTGTTGGGCAGCGGTTGAGCCTTGCCTTCACATCTCACGCTCTGCCGATCCTCAGACAGGATGAGTTGGGGATGGGCCGTGTCAGGATCCAGAGTCACATCTGCTGCTTGGGAGAAACGAGGAGAGAGAAGAGATTGAAAACCAGCCAGGAGAATAATTTACTTCCAGCCCTCCAGCTGTCCTGGGGGGAACCCCACTATTGAACAGTCTTGATTTTAAAATATTAACACCCGTTTTTTCTTGTTTATTTTTCTACTCTATGTGAATATGTCGAAAAGGCTGAAGTCTAGCACAGGATGGAGCCAAGATATTTAAACCTATGTATTTTGAATGCCACAGAATGTGGAGACACACTACACTGTGGGGCTAAGGAGAAAGTACTTTGCATGCTCCCAGATGTATATTTTCCCCCTATATCCCAGGAGGACTTGACAGACTTGGGAGGGTGCCCTCTGGTGAGGGCACAAAGTATGCAAGGTGAGGGACTTTGTGAAAAGGGAGTCATGGGATACGAATATGCTTTAGTGAATGTGTGCTGGGAAAACCAAGAGTGGATTGTGTTGGCAGGTAATGAAAGGTGTGCTTGCAGTCAAGGCAACAGAGGTGGCACTGCTTAATTTTCAAAGGGGGGAGATGTAAGGGCCGACGCTCATTAGTGTGGAGAGGAAAGGCTGTATTTGATCAGTAGTGCAGGAAAGCGCTCTGCACATGATGAGAGAGACAGCTGGAAGCAACATCTTGGAAGCAAGTGAATTACAACCCTGTTGCAGCCATCTGATCTCCCCTTCCCTCCCCATACCAGTCTACTGGAATGTAATTGGTGGACATTAAGTAGAAGATACACATTTGCTAAGGATGGGGCCATGTCTCCATGGACACTTTCCGCCCCAAGGAATCAGCTGCTGACTGGTCGGGTTACATGCTCTCTTTATCCGGCTAGCTTTGAAGTTCCCGCGCTTCCGCCTCTGGCCTGCCAAGAACAGCTCCCATCACACAGTTACACTGGGTGGGCTCCCCCGCCCGTGACCTAGTCAGCTCTTTAATTATCCCCTCAAATTCTGGATCTGCCTCTCAGCTTGGAGCCAGTTTGGTGTAGTGGTTAAGAGTGCTGAATCTAACCTGGGAGAACCGGGTTTGATTCCCCACTCCTCCACATGCAGCTGCTGGTGTGACCTTGGGTCAGTCACAAGTTCTCTCAAGAGCTCTCTCAGCCCCACCTACCTCATGGGGTGCCTGTTGTGGGGAGAGGAAGGGAAAGGAGATTGTAAGTTGCTCTGAGACTCCAAGTGAAGGGTGGGGTATAATTCCAATCTCCCCCTCCTCCTCTCCCTCTTCTCCTTCCTGTTCTTTTCCTCCTCCTCCCACCCAGGTCCCACCTTCCCTCTTTTCCCTGTGGCTCCCATCTGCCCGGCCACATCCTCTGGCTTGCCTACCCATTCTTTACCCTGTGAGGGTCTAATTAAGGAATAGGCACTTCTTTCCTGCTTCAAACTGCCTATTCCTTCCTTAGTTTAATTACTTTATTGCATTTTTATTTTCATTGTTCAACACAGAGGCAAGAACCTGTGATTTCTCGTCGGTAACTACCCAAGTGGTTTGAGTCCCAGACACAGAGAATCACGCCTGATTTATGATTCTAGGCCTCCCTCTTGCCTCCTCCACCTTCTGTCATGTTTTGTATAAATGAGGTAATGAGGTTTTGTTTCACCCTCGTTCTTGGCTCTCCGCTGTTGGAAACACAGTGCTAGATCACACAGTCTGCTCCGGCAAGGCAGTTCTAAATTTTCATCTAAATAAATCACACTTAAAACTAGTTACCACTTGTTATTTTTAACTGACCCATTGACAGTTCCTGAGGGTCTGGGAATGAACAGTTGAACTCCAGAGAAATATAAGAAGACACCACTTCTGACTGTCCCGAGTCCAGCCTGAACTGGTCCCGGCGAACCCCCCTCATGGGACAAGCAGGGCACAGCAGCCGCCTACCAACCTGCTGGGCTCCCAGGGGCTGAGGTGGAAGGGGATGAAGAAGAGGAGATTGGATTTATACCCCGCCCTTCACTACCCAAAGGTGTCTCAGAGCGGCTTACAAACTCCTTTCCCTTCCCCTCCCCACAACAGACACCCTGTGAGGTAGGTGGGGCTGAGAGAGCTCTTGACAGAAACTGCTCTTTTTCAAGAACAGCTGTGCCAGAACTATGTCTTGCCCAAGGTCATCCAGCCAGGTGCAAGTGGAGGAGTGGGGAATCAAACCCGGTTCTCCCAGATTAGAGTTTGCGCACTTAACCACTACACCAGAAGCAGGCCCACCACCCAGTGAGAACCCCACCAGCCCCGCAGCACTCACCTGGCACCAGTGGGAAGCTGAAGGTTGCAGCTGTGGGCCTCCCAAGGACGGTGGCAGCTGGCGGTGGTCCAGCAGGTGCAGAATTTGGCAGCTGTCTCTCCCCAGTGTGCACGGAGGTGGAGCCAGGAGGCCTTGGGCCCGGCCGAGCCCGACTGCGGCGGCGATGGGGCTGGCGGCCCAGAGAGGAGGCGATGCATGGGCCAGCCGGGAAGCCCTGGGAGTAGGCTTGTGGCAGCTTGGCGGCCCTGGCCCCAGCTGGAATGGGAGGGGCGGCAACAGGGTGAGGTCAGTCAGGAGTCTCCACTGATATACAGGGGGTGGGGCCTAGGAAGAGGGCATGACCAGCAGAGGAAAGGGGCGGGGACCCAGGAGGGGGAGGTATAAAGGAAGAGGCACAGGAGCCAGCTGGGGAGGACAGGCTGGGACCAGTGTTCCCTCTAAGCTGAGTTAGTGTGAGCTAGCTCACAGTTTTTTAGCCTCCAGCTCACACATTTTTTTGTCTTAGCTCAGAAAAGATGGCTCCAGAGCAAACTAATCTATGCAGCAGCCACATCGCTCACTCACAACTTTAATGCCAGTGGCTCACAAAGTAGATTTTTTGCTCACAAGACCCCACAGCTGAGAGGGAGCACTGGCTGGGACCCAGCAGAGAGTGAGTAGAGAGAGACGGCTAGGCCCAGGGAACTAGCAGAGGCCAGGTGATGTAACCCCCTCCCAGCTCAGGACTGAGGCTACTCTCGTCCTCCACCCTCCTCCTTCTCCGACCCAGTGGGACCTCTCACCAGTCTGGTGTAGTGGTTAAGTGTGCGGACTCTAATCTGGGAGAACCAGGTTTGATTCCCCACTCCTCCACTTGCAGCTGCTGGATGACCTTGGACAAGCCATAGTTCTGACAAGAGCTGTCCTTGAAAGGGCAGTTCTGGAAAGAGCTCTCTCAGCTCCACCTACCTCACAGGGTGTCTGTTGTGGGGAGGGGAAGGGAAAGGAGCTGGGAAGCCGCTCTGAGACTCCGAGTGAAGGACGGGGTATAGATCCAATCTCTTCTTCTTGTCCCCCATTTTGAGGAAGAGCTACCCCCAGGACTGTCAGGGAACGCGGTGGCATCGAGCAGGAAGGTGGCGGGTGGCCAGGGGACCCCATGACACTGACAAGCCCCCCCCCCATGAATTTGGTCCTCCATCCATCTCTAAAACTTACCTCTCTGTGGCCGAATCTGAGATGCCAGGGCATCTGTGGAAGCAAAAGGAACAGTGATTCAGAGTGTGGTGCGAAGGGGAAAGGGACTTTAGATGTGTCATCTCTAAGCACAACTGTGATATACTACTCAACACAAAGGAGTTTATTATGGAGCACTCTCGTCCAAAGGACAATTTTCATCCATTTTGGCCACTCTCCAAGGCCAGCTCAAACTACTTATGGAGCACTCTCCTCCCTCCCTGGCCATCTCCATGGTGGGCTGCAGAAGACAGACCTCGGCAGCCCTCCTCAGATGGATCCTGGGCAGAGAGGTGGACAAAGGCGCACGAGTGCTAGTGGAGCATCCCACCGAGCAGTTGCCCAGGTGGGGGACCAGACCTGCCTCTGAGAACAGGGTCATGAAGGTGTTCCCACTGATGGAGGCGGTTGTCCTGAAGAGGCACATTTTATAAGAGGTGACCCCCTTCCCCTATCTGCTTAAATTATGAGCAAGATTCTAAATACAAACATACTCTGGTAATATCTGGGGAGTGGGGGAGGGAATGCTTTCTTGTGAATTCTGAATGGGCATGTGATGATTTGGGGCATTCACATAATCTTGCAAACAGTACCGGATTATGATCCAGACATTTGGAAAAATACAGGTCAGGGCGGGGCAGACAACTGGGCGTTGCCTAAACAACCACTCAGTGCCACCTTTTCTCTCTTTTTTCCTTGTCCAGGGCTACCCAAGAAGTAGTTATGCAGCGTGACATCCTGGCTGCTGGAATTCAGTTTCTTCAGGAGGGCCTTCATCGTAAATATTCACTATAAAAGGCCAAGGTTTTCCCGGCCTTCCATAATGCCTACTGGTTGCTGGGATGCAAAGGGAAGCAAGCCATTGTTTTGTAAGGAAAGACAAAGAGTTTTTATCTAGACAAAACAAAAGACAAACAAAGGAGAGTTGCCTAAGTGCTTGAGTTATCTTGTATAGTAAAAGGCCTCCAAAAGGAAAGACAAAAGAAAGCTTAAACAACTGATTAACTCCTTATACATAACGCTCCCCCCCCCCTGTTATCTTAAATAGACTTGTATTTGTGTTTAAAGTAGAGGGTGTAATAAACCTGTGTGTCAAAGGGGACGGACTGGAGGTAGAGAGGGGGGAAGTGTGCTGAGAGCCCCCCTGCAGTTGCAGTCTCTAAGGCGCTACTGGACTCAGATCTAGCCGCCCATTTTGATGAATGCCTCCTGCACAAGTGTAAAACTGGGACTTCCATTTCTGCATAAAGCAGCCCAAAGCGTAATGAAATAAAAGTATTATAAGGAACAAAATATGAGCCTTCTATTTGCAAGTCATCAGCATCACTAGTCAGATTCTTCAGTACCTTTGCATTTTTTCATATCAGCTGCCAGAAAGGAATGCATGTCCCAGACACTGTTGGTCCACCATATCATCTCTGGAGCTAAAGAGGCTGAATTCCCAAACTCTTCTGTCTTCTCACACCTGGTTGAGGGAAACACTGTTAACCTCCTATTGTGTAGTGGGTTGACCGCGTGGCTAGGCCTACTCCGCTCCCATAGCATGGTGCACGCTTGACTCTCACACAACTAAGACAAAGACAAACGGCCCGCAGGTCAACTATATACATATCCAGGGGACACCCCTGGATCCCATTGGGAGGTTCGAATTTCCCTCCTCCTTTCCCCTGGCTCCTATTGGAGAGACCAAGAGGCTGGTTTCCATTGTCCACCCAGGGTCAAGCCCTGGGTTGCCGCTGGCCCCCTGGTGGCGGCTAGCATACACAACACCTCCCAAACATCCAATCCACAATCCCTGAGTGGAACAAATGAAATGGAGAGAAATGGCAGAAAGCCTGGTGATGGGGGGGGGGGGGCTGCTTTGGGAAGAAGAGTACCCCCCCTCCCTGCTACTTCTAAGACTCCAAAGTGAAGAAGAAGAACAGACTGGATTTATACCCCGCCCTTCACTACCTGAAGTATTATCAGAGTGGCTTACAATCCCTATCCCTTCCCCTCCCCACAACAGACACCCTGTGAGGTAGGTGGGGCTGAGAGCGCTCTTGACAGAAACTGCTTTGACAGAACTTGTGACTGACCCAAGGTTACACCAGCAGCTGCATGTGGAGGAATGGGGAATCAAACCTGGTTCTCCCAGATTAGAGTCCGCTCCCCCTCCTAACCACTATACCAAACTGGATCTCATGAGAGGTTCTTCTGAGGAACACAAGGGATTCACTAGGCAGGTATAACATAACAGATTCTAAGAGCCACTACTCTGAAGGTGCAAGATCAGATAAGTGCAACCGTGTTTCTCCACTCATCTCAGGCCAATATAAACCAATATTTTGAGGGCCCACTGCCTAGTGAGGCCCTCATTCAGTTCCTTTCCCTCCCCGCACATTTCATCCATCAAAGGCAGTAGTTGAGCCATATAAAGTTTCTATGTGGAATTTAAAAAAAAACACTGCCATTATGCTTTGTCTTAGTGAAACTTGAAGCAACAACCATTTGTTTCTTGGGGGCTTAAGTTATGGAGAAGGTTTCAAGGCCCCTTTGAAAAAGTTAGAGATGGTATAACGCTTTAATTTATTTAACTTTTGATTTCTATACTGCTCTATCCCGGAGGCTCTGAGCGGTTTACATGGCTTATTAATACTCCTAACTAGGGCCACACGATAATTGGGGAAGGTGAGTGCCTACCAGGCACCCTGCCGGCTAGTTGTTCTTCCAGCGGCTCTTTTCTTTTTCTCCTCTGACTTCACGCGGTGGGTGTCTTCGGCTCGGCTCCGCAGCAGCTCCCTCTGGGGCGGTTCCTTTGTCCGCTTCCAAAGTGCTTGTCTGTATTTCCAAGGTTATCCCAGAAGGAACCGCCAGCTTGAATATATCTATAGGCATCTTTGAGATGGACCTTTTATGTGTGTTTTTTAACTAACACAGAATCAACAAATACAATAGAAGAAGAAGAAGAAAAGGGGTTGGTTTTTATACCTTGCTTTTCTCTACCTTAAGGAATCTGGGAGTGGCTTACAATCAGCTTCCCTTCCTCTCCTCACAACAGACACCCTGTAAGGTAGGTGGGGCTGAGAGAGCTCTGAGAGAGCTGTGACTGACCCAAGGTCACCCAGCTGGCTTCATGTGGAGGAGTGGGGAATCAAGCACGGTTCTCCAGTTTAGAGTCCGCTGCTCTTAACCACTACACCACGCTGGCTCAATATACAGTAGGCAGAGAAAAGGCCTTAGCTTGAATAGAAGAGAGAGGGGTGTAGTGCTCAGGGGTTGGAAAGGGGGTTTATGGCAGAACCTCTATTTTGAAATGTGGGAGGGCCTAGAGTCCTAGCGTCTCTCCCCTGGAAGGAAGTTCTTGACATGCTATCCAGACCCTTCCCAGCATCATGAAGGGAAAAGAGTGAGATCTACTTACCTCTTCAAGATGCTTTCAACATCCTGCAGGGAAGAGAGAAAGAAGAGGGAGTTCAGTGCCTGCCATTGGGCCACTTTAGAGAAACCATGTGCTGATGTGCTACCCCCCTTCCTGGCATGCTTTATGACAGCTAGAGCTCAGAATAAGGCTGCCCAAAAAGTGTCTGGATTGGGGGAACTCCTTTCACCTTCAGATGCCTCAAGGTCCTCACTAAGTTAACCCAACCTATCTTACTTAAATGCAGAGGGTCCAACCTCAAGATACGGCCTGCAGTTCTCCCAAAATGACAACTGACTTAGAGAGATCAGTGCACAGGAGGAAATGGCAGCTTCAGAATCTACCACAGAGTTAGGAGAAACAGGAATTCCTACACTGGCTACAGAGAGAGGGTGCTAGTAGAAGAAGAAGAAGACGAAGAAGAGATTGGATTTATACCTCGCCCTTCACTACCGAAAGGTGTCTCAGAGCGGCTTACAAACTCCTTTCCCTCCCCCTCCCCACAACAGACACCCTGTGAGGTAGTACTTCTGAGGCAACAAACCGATTCACCGTTTCAACAGGTTTCAGCCTTTTGACTGAGGAGATACACAGTTTATTTATGTATCCAATTTTAGGACGAAAACTCTGTATCCCCAGCCCAAGATCATTCGCTGTTTTTATTAATACATTTAAAATTAACCTACTAGTAATCATTTTTGAAATGATGAAATAAGCAAGGATCACAAATACACAGAAAACACTAGCATTGGTCTGAGAATTTAAAAGTAAATAAACCTTTCCTACTGTATCTCAATAAAATTTAAAATTTTAATTTAAAAATGAATTGTAATTCATTGCAATTGTATTTGAAAAGATAAAATAAGCTCAGAATTTCAAATCTGAGAAATCCATGGGTTATTATGAACACAATTGTATGGGACAATACATGACAATAGTCTCTAAGGGCCAAACTAGACATTATGATGTCCACAGATTTTACTCATGGACACCCTCACCATTTAAAAGCCTAATGAGGGTGTGAAGAAATGCCTTTTTTCCTGGGAGGTTTGAAATTAGCAAAACCTCCACTTTGCATTTTAACAGGACTTTTTCCCTCTGGGCAGAGAACAGGCTGGGAAAAAGGAAATCAGCCAATAGTTTTCCAGGTTCACTTTAGCTACCTCTTCAGAAATGCAAATAAGTTTAGACAATGAGATGGACAAGTCCCCCCCTTTCTCCAAGTAGGGAACAGAGGTCTGTAGGACTTTATACCAGAGGACTTTATAATAGAGAGGCTTCAGGAAGGAAGATTTAATGTACGGCCTGATGGAACACTCTTCCAGGAGAGATCAGGGCCCTGCGGGATCTGGTACAATTCCGCAGGGCCTGTAAAACAGAGTTGTTCAGGTGAACCTATGGTACCTGGAATCTAGCTGGTAGGCTATAATCAGTTCCTCGCCTCCCCTCCCCTCCCAGTTCCCCCCTCTTCCCTTCTTAGACATCTGCAGATTGCCCCCTAGATGCGTTTTATAAAATTTGTTTTATTGATTTTATTGTATTTATAGATCATGCGTTGCGTTATATTTTAGAAGATCTAAATTGAATATTTATCTTGTATATATATATATAAGCTATTGTCACCCACTCTGAGTTGGACTTGGGGGGAGCGGGTTATAAATTTAATAAATCAAATCAAATATGGTTCTTTGGTTTGAACAGAACTGTGAATGTGCCTCTCCATGAGCTTCACAGAGAGCACCACACCTCGAGTCCATGAAAGTGTAGAATAAAAACTTATTCGTTTTTAAAGTACCACAAAACTCTTGGTTTTTTTGGTTTTATTTTGGGGGGGGGAATAATTTCAGAGAGTCAAAGTACGGCAGGGCATCAAGGAAGTTTAACGGGCCTCATTGGAAGAAAGCTCCTTCTCAGCAAGGAAAAAGCACCACAGATGCTATCACCATTCAACTGAATGCTTACCTCAGAGTGATCCACACCAAGGTGATTACATCACCCACATCCTATACATACTAGACCAAGTTATAAGCGCCACCAGCTAGGACCTCAGTTATTATGTAGTGGAACGAGGCACCCACAGGTGCAGAGCCCGCCTTCACCTGGATGAGAGCCCACATTGTTCCTGCCACTGTCTTACCTGCAGGAGTTCACTGGTTGGCTGCTGAATCTTCTCCTCCATCTCATGGATGACACTTTCGAGAGAGGATAGTTCCCCAGAGAGTCTGGCCAGGTGCTCGTCCCTTTCTCTTACAATCTCCTTCTTCACTTCTTCCAGCTGGGCCAGCAGAAGTTTCTCCTGTTCCTCTAGAAACTGGTGCAGTTTCCTGAACTCAGCCACTCTCTTCTGCCTCTCAGATTCGTTTTGCTCCTGCAGAAAAGGGATGCCAAGAAAGGGGTGGGGACCAGGCCGAGGTCAGGAAGAGAACCAGGCTTGGTGGAGTGAAGGGGATGAGAATTCCACAGGAAAGGTGCTTCTGACGTCTCACAGTAATCCCTTCAACGGTCAGCATGGAAAGAATTCCCTCAGGACTTCAGAGGACTCACCCTTAGCCATTCAGGAATATTTCTATGGGAAATCAGGCCGTTCCCAATTTCTGCTCCATGCCACTGACTCTTATTTTAGACTCAATTTCCAGCTTTTGCTTTCAGCTTCTGGTTACGTCCCAGTAACGACAACACTTACAAGCAGGCCTTGGGTTCGCTTTTCTGTGTCTTCTTTCCAGGCCAGAATTTTTTCTCTCTCCTTCCTCAGAATCCCAGTGTGGCTATGTAGTTTATCCTGAAGAGAAAACAGAAGTTCAGATTTGCTTCTTTTTTAGAAGTCATCTATACAGAGAGACACAGACTGACAGATGAGCAAAGTTAAGGAAGCCATGACCAAAGTTAAGGCACCTTGCTATAAAAAAATGAAGCCTTTTCCAAATGAGGTGAATAGGGAAGGTGGTGTCAAGCTCAGGCCTTACTTGCTATGTATTTCCATATGGATTCATGTGTATTTCTTATGTAACCTTGTTCCTTTCCATTCTTGTTTATCTTCTCTGCTGGGAACTGGGGGCGGGGAGTGACTGTGTATGGCTGTCTGCTTTGCTTGGTTAGTGCTACCTCATAACAGTTCCCACGCAGGGGCCTCCTTAGTGAGCTGTAAAGATCATGGGATGCGTATAATCTCACCATCCGGTGTGACCTTGTAGTTTGTGGAGCTTCTAGATAATGGCCCCGGTCACACGGAGCATTAGGTACGCTAGAGAGACGGAAAATAGGCGGATTTTCCGGGCGCGATCTCACCGCCACATCTGGGAAGCGTAGAGCTCCCGTGGCTCACCCGAGGCTTCACTCCGAAGATGCGCTGTAAAAAACTAGTACCTCCGAGGTACTAGTTTCCGGAAACCGCGGGCCAAGGGTGGGCATCAGATCATGTTTCCGGTGTTAGCTCGTGGCATCCGGCGCCCGCCCATGTCCTGTCGCGAAAAGTTTTTTTTTTGTCAAGTCTCCACAGGTGCGCACAAGCACCCAACGGCGCATGCGAACACTTGGGTTAAAAAAACCAACACAACCCCCGTGGTGCCGCTTCTTTGCCGCGCCGCAGGAGTGAGGTATGATCGGCACCTCCCCCCAACCACGGGACGTTGGGCAGGACGTTTGATCCAGCTGCCGCTCGGTAGTTCGCTCCGGGGCAAACAGCCACGCCTCCCCCCTGTGATATCCGGCTGGTGTGACCGGGGCCAATGTAACCATTACCTTGCAGGTGCTGGGGGCAGTCGTAGGGGCAGAGGCAGACATGTGGCGGGCTGAATGTGAGAAATGATTGGTCATTCGGCATATGGGGTTTTTCCTGATTTTACTATATTGGGAGGACTGGCATCTGAAACCCAGTTCTGACACAGAGGCTGTCCATACTTCCAAGTAAACAAATCTTGCTGCTACAAGTGTTTGTGGGAGAAATTGTGTCTAGGACTTGACAGGTGGGGAAAAAAATACAAGTACATGATATGATAGGTGAAATGAGAGTGAGACAATAAGGAACATATTGCCAGAAACTAAAGACTGTCGACTGGAATGCCTTGAAATAATCTCAGTGGTAGGAAACTAGCCAAGGAAGAAGTGAGGCCTCTAGTGGTCCAAGGGGTGAAAAGATTCCTTAACCTTTGGTGGCTGTGCAAAGTGCTGGGGAAGTTTCTCTATCAGGGAATCTGTGGTCATGACTGTGATCTCTGATTTGGCATTTCATTGTGGAATATTCCATGTAGAAATCACGTGGATCCACTGATTTTTCTACAATGTTCTGTGGCATAGAAATGCTACAATATGCTGGGTATGTGTTCTTTACTGCAGAATATATGGACATTGATATGACATGTGGCTTGATTGCAAATTGTGGGGTCCTTCATGTAAAAATTGTGGGTCTCTGTGAGAATCCAGGTTTTTAATGCATTTTATGGTGCCAGGGTGGCACCACAAAATGCTGGAAGTGGAACCATTTTTTTAATGTTATATTATTGTGTTGTCCATGGACAAGGAGACAGGCATGACACATTAATGGTTTTGTGTCCGAGTGAAAATCATAGAAATTCAGGGGATTGATAGCACAAACATTGGATCAGTGCCTTTTTATGTGGAATCTGCAGATATGGATGTGATAAGCAATTGTGTAGTACATTGTTTGAGAATTCCGTTTAAAAACCACAAAGATCTGAGCCCTGGATCCTCATTTTTGTGCTGTGACACAGCCATAAAGCACTGGATTATTTATTTATTTTACAATGCAGTTTGTGGATGAAGCACATGAAACTGCCAGATACTGAATCAGACCATCAGTCCATCTACGCCAGATGGGTAGTGGAGCCACAAGGTCTCCTGTCTTTCACACACTGCATACTGCCTCCTTTTAATTGGAGGTTCCGGGGACTGAACCTGGGATCTTCTGCATGCAAAGCAGAGGCTCTTCCATTCAGCCAGACTCATAACAAAAAGTTATGCTTGAAGAGGGTCTTTCAGGTGATTCCTTGTAAAAATCACAAGGATGTTCCATGAGGAGCTATGCTGGGGTTGCCATCCTCCAGGGGGTACCTGAAGATCTCCTGGAATTACAACTAACCCCCCAATTATAAAGATCAGGTCCCCTGGAGAAAATAGCTGCTTTGGAAGGTGGACTCTATGGCATTATACCCTAGTGAGGTACCTTCCCACCTCAAGTTCCACCCCCAAAATATCCAGGAATTTCTGAACCCAGAGTTGACAACTCTAAGAATCCATATTATTGCACTACAGCAGCACTATAGTGTAATTTTTTGGGCTGACTATGGTCTTGAACTTTGATTTGATCATGGATAGAGGGGAGGGGTCCATGTAAAAAAAATCAAGAGGAGCTAGGGTTGCCAAGTACTTACCTCAATGAACCCAGAGTTGACAACCCTAAGAATCCATATTATTGCACTACAGCAGCACTATAGAGCATAGAAGTGTAATTTTTTTGGCTGACTATGGTCTTGAACTTTGATTCGATCATGGATAGAGGAAAGGGGTCCATGTAAAAAAATCAAGAGGAGCCATGTAGATGTGTTTTTGTCACTTTTCCCAACAGTGAATCTCTTTTTCTACAGTTCATGTGGTTCTTTTGAGAGGGCTGCTGGAAGATCATAGGATACCTGCGGCTTCCACCAGTGTAAAGCTCCAGTGCTGCAGTGTCCTTCTTAGCTGGACAAGAGGATTATCATGTCTGTCATGCCTACGCTCCTTTTCCTTTAAATTTTTGTTACTCTTCTGAAGAAGTTAACAGCTGGATAATTTTGTTAAATGAAGGAATTATCAGGGTTTTTTGTTAAGTAGGAAGCCTTTCCCATCAGTTTGAAAATGTCAGCCTCATTAAATTGTTATCTTGTTAGTTTAGAGATAACTATAATTTGGCAAAGAAAAGCCAGCTTACACTCAACAGCAGAGGGTGGTTCTGCAGCAAGCTTTGGCATGGTTCCCACATGCAGGGTGTAAGGCTGGTCTTTGTTTGTCAAGACTGAAAATTTCCTTGTTCCTGTGTGGAAGATTTTTGCCTGGAAGAAAATCCTACTTTTAGCGGACAAGTGTAAATTAGCCTATCTAGGGCTCCGGTCACACGGGCCGGAAAATGCGGGGTGGAAGCTGCGTTAAGTACTGATATACTTATTTGTTCCTTTTGTAAATAAATTTCTGTTCTGTTTCCTCTCTTAAGGAAAGCTGTGGTTATTTGGTGTGCACCTTGGGTCTTGTAAGAGAAGAACTCACAAATTCATGGTGTGTTGCTAAGTCTCCTGGCCTGGAGTTGGCGACACCCTGTTAGGCACCTTATCCCTGATTTGGGAGGGGAGCCTTAAAGTGAGGGCGCATCACAATGTCAGAATCTCTTATAGGAGCAAATCTAGAGAGAAGCCTGCAGTGTGAATCCGGTGCTGTTCCCATTTAAGACTGATCAAAGTGGCACCTCTGAGACCAACAAAGTTTAATTCTGTGCTCAGAGTTTGTTCTATTGCTTCAGACCAACACGGCTACCCACCTGAATTTATAATTATTGATCCTTTACCTTATACTCTTGGGCAGCCTCGTCCGCGGGAATCACGTCATGATGTCTGTGCTCCTTGGACCTGTCGCAGACCACGCAGATGAGGCCTCGATCCTCTCGGCAGAAGAGCTTGAGGGGCTCCTGGTGCTTCTCGCAGGCTCTCCCCTTTCCTTCCACTGCCTTTACCTCCCTCTCCCTCTCCCCCTGAAGACGGAGCTTCTTGGCAATTTCGACCACGTTCGCCAGCTGTCGATTTGGCTTCAGGTTCCTCGGCTGAACCATTTCTCTGCACTGGGGGCAGGAAGCGTCTGCCGGCGGCTCCCCCCAGCTGCGGGTCAGGCAGAGTCGGCAGAAGTTGTGGCCGCACTCGGTGAGCATCACCGGGTCCCTGAAATACTCCAGGCAGATGGAGCAAGTGAGTTCCTCAGAGAGCTCTTGGACGGGACCCCCGGACGCCATGGCTGCCTCCAGCCCGGGAAAGGAAGCGCTGCGGAGATCGGTTTCGTTTTCTCTCTTTTCTTTTCGAGCAAAGGCGGGGAGGTTCCCTTCCCGGCCATCTCGTGAGCTCGAAATCAACAGCTGTGGTTGCCTTAAAGCACCGGCGAAGCCGCTAGAGGGGCAGGCTTTTTCGATTGTGTGGCCAAAATCCCACCTCTCCTTGGGGTCTTATGGCAAAACTCCAGCTCACGAGGAGGACCAAAATGCGCAAGGTGAAAAACAGAACTTGCAGAAATGTTGGTGGATTCTGATTCATGTTTAAACCATTTGATGGAGGTCTACCAAGTCCCGTCTGTCCTCTGTGTGTGCACTCCCAGCCCCCATCTCCTCCTGCTGACGCCATTACTGAAAATACACACACCGGTTATTTTTTGGAGATTTTGATGTGGGAATGAATCTTTATGTTGGCACTGATGACCAGATAGTCTTTCTGAGGTATGTTCAGTGCCTTTCTTGCAACCTTGACTGTGCAACATATTTCTTAAATGCAAAAGTTAATTAAAAGGGTCAGTTAAATGACAAATGACCAGCACTTTGAATTGTGTTCTGAAGTAAACCAAAAGCTGATGTAAATCGGATCTTTTTAAAGTGGCTCCATGACTAATGTAAAAAAAACAAAAAAACAACAGTTCTGTTGCCTCCTGTTCAAGGACCTGAAGCTTCCAGAAACTCTTCAAGGGAGCTCCTCCCTGGTCCTACTGCAGTAGTCCAGTCTTAATGTCATCAATCTATGAAGAAGGGCCCAATTATGCCTCTTAAGAAAGGGAACTGATGCCTCTATCAGATTTTTGTAATTACATTCCATTTTAATAAAGGGAGTAAGTTTGCAGCAAAACAACTGTTTTAGAAGGGCATTTTATTTTGTGAACAGGATTCTAACAGCAATAGCTGAAAATCATAGGAAAGGTTTTATCCATTCTGGCACTGTTCATTGTATGTATTTTGTATTGCATAGATTTCTAATTTTATAATCCAGTTTGTTTGCCTTGTTTTTAGTACCTGTATTTTCCCCAAGGAAGGCTGAATGTAAGATGACCCTTCCTTTAAAAGAAATGTTATATACATGAAGTTGTTTATTACTGTACATATTTGTAATTAGTAAGCCAGGGTCAGATTCTGAGAGTACACTCAGGGGCTGGGCTAGTCTTCCTTTTGAGTAAATACAGGATGCATTACACTGTTTTAATTGACTGCTCATTCTGTAAGTCACCTTGAGTCTCAGAGACCTTGGAGATAATGTTGAGAAATCGCAACCAGAGGGAAATGTAGGCACCTGCACCTATTGCCCAGTCTTTTTAAACTAAAGATGCTGGGAATTGTGATCCCTTCTGCATCAAAACCAGGTGCTCCTGAACAAAATCACAGAATATGTATGCATTACTTCTAAAATACAGGAATTATTTTCCCACCCCCACAGAAATTTAGGGCTGAACCTACTTAACAACGGATCCTCTTACAAAATTAACTGTGTAGACAGGAGTATGTTTGGCAAGCTGCCACCACCATCCCCCTGGGATCCCCCCCCCCTTCCCTTCATGCATTGGTGAAGCCTTCACCCTCTCATAGTCTTCTTAAAAGAAAAGAAAAAAAGATGGGAAAAGATGCTCAGTGGCACCAAAAGAAAGATAT